CGGACACTGCTCTCCACAATTTCCTATTTTACTCAGCCTTCTAATACCTGTTCAGTCGTCCATTTACGTAAGATCGTTAAGTAGTCAGCCGATAGTTCGGTCTTCTTACCTTCAGTATGTCTTGTGAGTGTCAAATTTTCCAACCTCTTGTCGTCCTGGGTCTGACGATAAACTACATCCAGCAGTAAGGCTTCCAATCGGGAGATTGGAGGTTTTGAGAAGTAAATCACCTCTTAACTACTGTTATTCCCATGTTCACCCTGACCCGGGGTGGTAGCACCTGTTAGGGTCCCGACAATGAGCAAATAGCGAACCAGATAACAAAAATCACCAATCATTTTTATAATAAAAAAGAGCAAAAATACATTTTTATAGCAAAGTGACGAAGCAACACTAAAGGAATATAAAGATATATATTTATAGTAAATTTACATACAATACATTTTATGACCTACAAATTATATATCTAAAAAGAAATACCTTTATCCTGAAAGCATAAAATTGCGTGCAAATTATTTAGATTTCGGCATGAAATAACCCATAGAGGTGTTGATATACCGCTAAACAAAATCAACCAAGCAAAAGTACCTATTTATAGTAAAATTACTAACAATACATATTCAAAAGAAAATGACGAATAATACATTTTATCTGTAGTTGAAAGCATAAAATCACGTACAAATTATTTAGATTTCGGTATTAAAAAACCCGTTGATATGCCACTAAACAAAATCAACTAACTAACAAAAGAACAATCCAACCTCATATTTCTGATTTTAAGTAAAAGCGTCCATTTTTTTTTCTCTTTTTCTTAAAACGTCCTCGTTGATCACGTGCTCAGTTCATAGTATTCTCAGCATCCTTCTGTAGAAGCACATCTGTGAGGAATCTGTCCATTATTCACTTCCGAGGATGGAAATTATGTAGCAGTTAAGCATTTTTTTTTTTATTTCTAAAGAAATGTTTCTGTTTCTTAATACGTTAATATTTAAAAGATATCTTTCGCTATAACTAAATTAAAAGTTTTATATGCTTTCATGCAGATATTAATAAAACCTCAATGGCCATATTCCATTGTCCAGGTGATGGAGTGCTGGTTTAGCTTGTAAAGAAACGTAAGCGAGTTCAAGTTCCTGTCCTTGAGGCAGTCATTTGCATTTTGCCCATTAAGCCTTTTATTGTGACATTCATCCTTTGAAACAATCCAGAATTATGGCAACGATAATAATTCATTCTTCTTACCGGGTAAGTCTACAAGAAGAGCCGGTTTATTTGTCGAGCAGACGATTATGCCTTAATGAGCAGTGTGTTTGCAAATCTTCCAGTCAGTCCTCAATAAGTATTTGAACATTCTCTAATATTATATTTATATATATATATATATATATATTAAGAAATGGACAAGGTCCGACAATTTATTTATTAAAGACATTTTTTATGTTTAACGTTGTTATTTATAGATACAAGTATTTAAGCAAATGCCCTGTTTATGATAAACAGTATTAAATAACATTTACCGGCCTGAATGTCCGAGAAATTTTCATAAAAAATATTCGTTCTTTGACAGGATTCGAACCTGCATCCTATACGGAACCGTCATTTACGCGGACGTGCCTTACCTCTGGGCCACAAAGATTCATGGAAGATTGAAGTTTATAAGCAGTAAATTCGACCTGGTCTACCGAAAGAGACCCGGATATAAGAGAAACCCGGATATAAGAGAGACTTTCTCTGGTCCCAAATTAGATCCTGTGTTAATGTATATAAAATAGACCAAACCAGGATATAAGAGAAACCCGGATATAAGAGACTTCTCCGGTCCCGACAACTCTCTTATATCCGGGTTACACTGTATGTGGGATGACGATATATAAATTGTTATATATCAATAGCAGTTTTTGAGGAAAGATGTATGATAAAGTGGAAAAGTTTTCGTGTGAAGCGTTTCGACCCTTAGTACTTCATCAGACTAGGTTTGTTTACGTTAATGCGACTACACATGTGCACGAATGAGAGACGCTGAGGTTTTAAATTTTGAAGATAATTTTTAAAAAAAATTAATTATGTAATAGCCCAATTTTATTTAGATTTTTTTTGTTTTTTGTTTTGGTACCCAGCCCCTTTGCTATTAAATATCCGATATTGACGAAAACTTTTTCCACTTTGTTATACATGTTTCCTCATATATATATATATATATATATTCTGTTTATACGCCATCTTTATAGATATAATTTATTTAAGTGCTCTGTTTTTATTAAACAGTATTAATTACATTTACCGGCCTGAATGTTGGAGAAGTTTCGTGGATAATGGTTACAGGAATCCAACCTGTAACCTTTATGGGAACTGTCATGTAGTCTGACCTGCTGTCACTATTCAGCCACAGAGAAGCGTCTTGTCAGCAAAGTCCGGATTACTGTTTATAACGACACACCTTCAACAATAAGAAGAAAATATAATAAATAATTGTAGGACATAATCCGTTTCATAATATACGTTGTCATTGTTTACGTTAAGATACGTTTCGTGAGCAGATATGATCGATCGAGAAAAATCATCTTTATAAACAGTAATTCGGACGCTTCTCTGTGGCTGAATGGTAACCACGCGTCAGGCTATACGACGCTTCCCATAAGGGTTACAGGTTCGATTACTGCCGGGGAGCGCACATTTTCTACGAAATTTCCCGAGCATTCAGACCGCGAAATATAATTAATAATATTTCATTCAAAACAGAGCATTTACTTAAATAAATTATAAAAATAACGTATAAACAGAAAATATATTAAATAATTGTCAGACAATCTATTTCATCATATATACGTTATTTTTTTTTTATTATTATATATATATATATATATATATATATATATATATATATATATATATATATATATATATATATATATATATATATTTTTTTAAAAAAAAACAGACAAGGTACTAAGGTTAATCTTTTTATTTAATTTATCTTGTTTTCGAACAAGAGCTTTCTTTTCCGGACAAAGATTGTATAAAAACTGTCCAAATGTTTTATAGTTCCGAGCGCTTTCGGCTATACATTTAGCCATTATCAAGGATGATTCAATTTTCCAGCTTAATTGAGTGTGTGCATTGTGTGAATGTTTTAGTGTGTTATAGAGTTGTTTTTAATTTCCGAAGACGGTTAGCACATTGTGGCCTTGTTCGTAGTTAATATTATTAAGAGTTGGCATTTTTTTTATTATTATTAAAGCTTCCATCATTTTTAATCTTTTTTTACAAGTAGACGAAGTTATCATATTTGTGTTTTCTACTAGTATGTTTCTAATGGAGTCTGGTAAGTTTGTGTGTGTGTTTAAATGGGTTCTAATGGATCTGTGATCAGATAGGTGTAATGTAAGACGTCTGGATAAACATGTGGTTGTGTAGCCGATGTAATTATTTATGAGTCCGGTTAGATCAGGAACGCAGTTCCTTAAGAGTCATTTGAACTCATAGATAATATTCGTTCTTTGTAATTTTGACTTAACTGGTGTGTTGTTATTTTTGAGGATAAGGTTGGCTGTCTTAAATTTTTTTATAATGGATAATTAATTTGATTTTTTTATTAGGCTCAGTTGGGGTAGTGTATTTCTTTATAATATTTCTAAGTGAAGATTCGTCTTGTTTGTAGTTAATTTGCATTTGTCATTTGTAATAAATATTTATGTAATTTTTGACTGTGTGTTCACTATCGTTATTATTTACTTTGGGAAGAAATAGTCTAATTTGGTGGTCTATAAGGTGGTTAGGGAAGATATATAATCTTTACCAAGTTCATATTCAGAGGTAAATTGCAAAAACAAACTTATTGTCAAGCTCCATTGAACAATATAGATATTTTTCGCAGTTACAATAAGTTTCTCTTTATAATTTACCCCTGAAGATGATCGCGGAAAAGATCGAAAGTACTTGGGTTAACAAAATCTATGGTGCCTTCCTTGATGAATGTCACCTTAACATCAAGAAACTGATTAGACAACCGGAAAGGATCAATTTAAAAATAAATACATACAAAATAGCCATTTTGTTCAATGAAACACACACACACACACACACACACACACATATATATATATATATATATATATATTATGCTATGTTTTTCACACTGAAAGAATTGAATGTCATGGGCGTTGTTGGCCAACGAGAAGCAAAATTATGTTGAAGATAAGAAAATGAAATGAACAATAGAGAATTCGTATTCTTCCTTTTCGTTCAAAATCAATAAATTAATCTGAATTTTAATTTGTAATCGATCCGCTATTATGATATACATTGCCTTCCACTATACGAACACACAAACACAATCGCAGGTACACCGGTTAATCGATCTGTCAGCTGATTGATAGGTTTCCAATCGCACTTACAATGTGTGTGCTCGCGCGTGTGTGTGTGTGTGTGTGTGTGTGACAACCTATATTCATGTCTTAGTCTATAGGCTGCGTCAGGTATTTGAGAAATAAATTTCAATTACAGCTGATCATATTATTGAGCAGAGTAAACATTATTTTTACAGAATTTAAAGAAAACAAAACGCATTCTTAAATATATACATAAAATATGTTTATGCAGTATAACCGTACGGTCACCGAAGTTAAGCAAAGTCGTGACTTATCAGTACCTAGATGGGTGACTACTTAGGAATATCAGGTGCTGTAAACTTAAATGTGCAGGTGGTATAATGTGCTTAAGGCCACATCACGTAGGAATACCCGTTACTGTATGATCACCGAAGTTAAGCAACGTCGAACTGGGTCAATATTTTTTGGGATGACCGCTTTGAAATACCAGATGCTGTAAACTTGGGTGTGCAGGTGGTATAATGGGCTTAAAGCAACATCACGTAGAAACACCCGTTCCTGTATGATCACCGAAGTTAAGCAACGTCAAGCCTTTGTCAGTGCTTAGATGGGTGACTGCTTGTAAACGTGGAGGTGCAGGGTTAGGGTTAGGGTTAATGGGCTTAAAGCAACACCACGTCGAAAAACCGGTTCCCGTACGATCACCGAAGTTAAGCAACGTCGAGCCTTGTCAGTACCTAGATGAGTTACTGCTTGGAAATACCTGGTGCTGTAACTTTGGATGTGTGGTTGGGGTAATGGATAATGGCTGAAATTGTTAATCAGTGAGCCGAGTTTCAATTCCAGTCTGGTTCGTTGTATTCATTTAAGTGCAACTTTTTCTCCCAACTATGGGTCTTTTTTTTAGTTAGACATGTATTACGAAATTATTATCTAAGAAAATTACAATCTAAAAAAAAAGATTCTGGCTTTAAATAACCTGCAAAGGGTTGATAAGACGTAAAAAGCAAATCAATCTGTCCTCTTCTGAGATCTTCATCAGATGACTTCGTGTGCCACATGTTTGATTGATGACTTCGACACACGGATATGGATCTGATTGTGAATGCCCCCCCCGCACCTTGATTTCCCGGTTGTCCTCGTTGATGATTCTCTGGAATTTTTGGATGATATTCCTGATAATAATCGTAGAGAATTTTTTTTTTCTTTTGACTACTGAAGACACTGTCTTGCCAGAGGAACAGAGATCTTTCTTCTTCTTTTAACACAAAGGACCTAGCGGCATTAATGGCCGAATCTATAGGATGCGATGTGTAAATTATATTTTTAATTTCGCGCATGCGCGTTGTTTCTTTTTGATTTTGTCGACTGGACAGTATAGGAAGGTCAGAAATTTCCTTCTGGAGATAAATCGACGGTAGATTAACCCAGATCAGGGTGTTCAATGGACATTGCTTATGTTGTGTAGGAACCTACCACCCCTCTTGAAGATGAACTCGTCTACAAACAAGGACGTTAAATAGTGGCATGTCAAAAGACAGTGTCGAAGAAGTTCTTTTGCTGAGTTCGTTATAGACTACTCAGGCGATATCTGTACCAACTTACCAACCGAATAAACCCCATTTTATTGTTACATGTTATTTGGCGTTTGTCTTTATTAACCCCAAATTAACATCATAACAGCTTATGAGGCTCTAAATTCATCAGTGGAAAGAAAATACGTTAAAAAGTAATGAACACTTAGAAAAAAACAGAGAATGTTATTTGTTTATTTGGTTCCACTCGCTCTTAGAGAAAAGAACACATTAGATCGTTATGCATAAAAAAGGGACCCCAGTCGGGATGATTTCTTTTTTTTTTTTTTTGGAATTTTTTCGTGCGTGTGTACGAAGGCGGTGTTGTCTTTTCGTCAATCGTTCAAATTTGTATTTAACCATATAAATATTTTCAATTATTCGTGTAAACATTTTTTTCTCCGATTTTTTCTCTTCGTCCCCCCGCCTTTTGTTTGTGTCGCCGTCCAACGTTGCCTTTGTTGATTTGTCGCTAGTCTTTCTCTATCACTATTAACCGCGAAAGACTTATTTATATCCGCCTGCCTTACAAGCGACAAACACGAATATTTTTTAAAAAAGAAAAAGAAAAGCAAAGAAAGCTGTACGACATCGTCCGAATTTTGCCGCTCGTAAACCTTTTTGTCGTGGCAGCCATCGTCGTCACTGCCGAAGCAGTCATCGTTCATCTCCGGCGTCATGATGAAAAAATCGATACATTCTATTGCATGTTTGGTTTCATGTCATATATTCATATCTATATATCTTTGATTCTTCTTCCTTGCGGTCGTTTCAGAGGGCTTTTAGATAGCTTAGCGGCGCCCATCTCCTCTCTAAATGATTAATAAGCAAGAGAAATGAATATTGGCCAAAGACATCAAACATACAACCTTTAATTATCAAAAATGCATGAACACGAAGACAAGGGACCAGACTTCGAGAGCGATGCTGTGGAGAGTTCTAAAATACTGTTAGATCTAACCTTGGCGGTGCGATCGAAGACAAGAACTCAGACTAAGCACAAGCCAACCCCAAAGACCTGATCGGTGGAACAAGCGGATAACAATTACAATAGATCTCAACGGTTGAACCTGCGGATGAAGAGGGCTACGCCTGACGGACATGCTACAGAAGGCGCCACTCGAAATTATAACAGAGCTAGCAGCAGTCAGTTGCAGTTTTATAACTGGAGTCTGCATGTCTCATTCCATATGTGCCACAGAGGAAGGTGAAATCAATTGTCTGAGTCACTTCCTGGCAAGTTAAGGTTCACCTTAATCAAATTCACGCCATTAGCTCTTTTTTTTTCACCGCCAACCAACTCTTGCAAAGCTAACCGGCGCTAAGATGGATGACGTGAGCAGGTTTTGGAAGGGTCTAGTCCTGATGCAAGTTACACATTGAAGATTTCAAAATCAAGCAAATAGAGAAATGTACCCATCTCACAGGAGACGATGGAAAATGGGACGCAGAAATCAAAAGGCATATCAGAATAGCGGAAAATGTTTTCCAAAAGCTAAGCAAAGTATTAACAGGAAAATTTAGTTAGGAACAAAGAAAAGAATACTAAACTATTATGCAGTAAAAATCCTTCCATATGACAGTGAATGCTGGACAAATTCTACAGAGATGAAGAGGATACTTGAGACAACAGAAATGTGGCTCTACAGAAGGATGATGAGAATACTATGAACAAAATTTATGGGTAATGATTTAGTTTCAGAGAAAATAACACGTGTGCTTAAGGTTAGAAAAATAATTGGCCATCTAATAAAGAGAGAGGGTCTGGAGAATTTGACACACACAAGACATATTGAAGGCAAGAGGAAAAGATAGATTGAAAAAAGGTAAACATACCTCAGATTTACACTATTGAGTCTAGAAAGTAAACACATATCTGGTTCACACTAAACTAAAAAAACATAGATACATGCTCGGTTTAGATAAGATAGATAGATAGATAATGAAGAAACTGAGATAGATAGATAGATAGATAGATAGATAGATAGATAGATAGATAGATAGATAGAAAGAGACTGGGAGAGATAGATAGATAGATGATAGATAGATAGATAGAAAGAGACTGGGATAGATAGATAGATAGATAGATAGATAGATAGATAGATAGATAGACGCACGCGGAATTTGAAGAAAATAATGAAGTGGTACATTTTCTCTTATAAAGCTTTGGATGATTTCAACAGGTAAACGTTAATTTCACTGCTTGTGATTAAACGGAATTTCAACTCAAAACTTGTAATTACGAAAATAACATAGAAGTTAATAATATATAATGTTGGATTTAAAATGTATTCATATATATATATATATATATATATATATATATATATATATAGAGATAGAGATGTGTGTGTAAATTTTAGTCATATTAATCCTACACACACACACACACACACACACACACACACACACACACACATATATATATATATATATATATATATATATATATATATATATATATATATATAAGCTTGTGCAAATTAATTGAAACAACCGGTTTAGTTTCCTTTCCTTCACCATACAGTGAGTTTTAAAGACACTGTAGTGACAGGGTGTAATCGCTTTTTATTTATTCCTCAGATTAGATCATTTGACAGTGGTGTAAAGTAATAGGAATCTATTATCGATGTGTATGATGAAATTTGTTTGGTCTTGAAAAAAAATGATTGCTATTTATCACGCCCAGACACTATTGTCTCGACTGTCAATTAGTTGTCCTACGGCCATTCTCTGCGATGGACGTTACTCCAAAGAAGCGTGCGAAAATTGTAACGCTGCACAAACACAATGACAAGCCTTACCTGTAAGTAAATCAAAGTACTATAGGGAAACTCACCTGATTTAAATCAAATCGCGAATCTGTGGTCAATCTTCAAGGAACGACTTCGTGGAATGGACATTCGAGGTACTTACATGTGCACTGGGTCATGTTTCATTGGAAAAATACGAAAAAAAGTAAATAATAACGGAATTATTCTTTTTGTTTCAACTAAATTGCACAAGGATATATATATATATATATATATATATATATATATATATATATATGTATTGTTTCATTTGAAACGGTAGATAAGGTAATAGATTAAGCTTTTATTTAATTATTCTTGTATTCGAAAAAAAAAGTTTTCTTCTCCTGACACAGTGTGTGTAGAAATTGTCCAAATGAAATGTTTTGAAATTCCAAGCGCTTTCGGCTATACATTTAGCCATTATCAAGGATGATTTTATTTTTTATTTTTTAACTGGATATATTGGTTTTGCGTATGTTTCTAGTGTTATAGGAACATCCCTATAACTTTCAAGAAAAATTAAATAAAAAGCTTAATCGCTGTAATTTGTATGTCGTCCATATATATATATATATATATATATATATATATATATATATATATATATATATATATGTATAATCTCTATATGTTATATATACACTGCATTTTTAGAAAAAGCGCTCAATATTATACATACATATATATATATATATATATATATATATATATATATATATATATATGAAGAAAATATACTGAAAAAAACAAACAAAAATCTTTTAAGCGATTATGCTGTTTTAATGTTTAATGTCAACGTCGGACGTTTCGGTCTAATAGACCATCTTCAGGACATATTCATAAAACATAATTAACATAGACCATATACAATTCAACATGAAAAAGACAATGGACATAAAAGCAATAACAATCCAAACAGATAACAGAAATCTTTTATAAGATCAGCGTTCCGTTTAAATATGATCACGTCGTCGTCACGTGGACGATGTTGTGAAAACGTATTCCTAAAATTTGAGTATTTTGAATGAAAAACGAAAAGAATTTTATTTTGATCTAAAACTTATATGTACGTTTGTCGAGCATTAATCTTGCTAGAAAAGGGGAAATATTCAAGAAGCCAGGTCTAGTGTTCACCGTGCGTGAGATAGATATTATGCCTGCTTCATAAATCCGCCTAATATATATATAGTCCTCGATAGGGACTATACATATATATATATATATATATATATATATATATATATATATATATATATATATATATATATATATATACAATTGGTGTATACAGAATGAATTCCAATAACCAATTTTAATATAAAATTTTATCATATAATTTAATAATTATTGGTTAAAATAAATTCTTTTTTAATATTACCCGTATTTTAAAGACCTGAATAGCTATT